ACTGAATATAATGAAAAATCAATATTAGTTTTAATAGTAGGTAACAGTTTAGATGTGAAAAAAAGGGACATTGTGAATGGTGTGGACACTTTATTAAAATTAAAATTGGGAAAAATAATACTTTGTGCATTTCCCTATTCAAGTACCTTAACAGACTTCAAAAATAGACATTTAGGTGTACTTAACAGTACACTACAGTGAGACCAATTGACATGTTGTCATAGTGACAAATTAATTTTTTTTGATACTAATAAATTTATTAGTGATTTTATATTGACAGAGAGAGGCATATCCCTCTCAAACACATATAGAAAAACACTTGCTATGCTAATAGCATTCAATATTAATTCTGTTATAAAAAATATAACAGATATTAGTTTTAGGGACGAATCTGTGCTGTCTAGGCTACCTAACAACACAGAGATAGATTTAAACTAGATTTTCAGACAACAGAACATACCATCATATATAATGTTAGTAGTAAGGTATATTCTGGCAAAAAAAAACTTATATCAAATGTTGTTACACAGGCTCAGGGGCAGCACAATCTTATCTTATTTTATATTAATATTCAGGGCTGCTCCTCTAAATTATTTGAATTAGAAATGTTCCTCGAGAAAACACAATTTGATATTGTGTGTTTAGCGGAACATTGGATGAAAGAGGACCAATTAATATCTTTTAATTTTGATAATTATATTGTAATAAGTAATTTTAGTAGAAAATATATGTTACATGGTGGGTCCTTAATTTTAGTTAAAAATGGCATTAAGTCCAAAGAAAGGAAAGATATTGTAGCACTGTCAGTTGAACACACTATTGAGTTGTCCTGTGTTGAGCTGGATAAACATGTTGTTGTTTGTGTTTATAGACCAGACCACCTAATTATCAGAATCTTGCAGTGTTTGATTCAGTAATGGAAGATGTTTTGAAGAAGGTATGTTCTAGCCATAAATCAGTACTTGTATGTGGCGATTTTAACATTAATTTATTGGAAAACAATGCAGGCAGCATGGAACTATTAAATTTGTTTGGATCATTTAATTTAAAAAATGTTTTTCTGGAACCGACTAGGATAACACCATCCACTGCCACATGTATTGATAACATTTTTAGTAACAGTTACTATTTAGAAAAAAGATTTTTAAACAGTTTACCTTCTGACCACAGTGGTCTTGTGGTAACTTACAGCACTTATTTGCCTCTATAAAAAATTCAAATAAAGTTTAGACATATTACAAATAGAAATTTAGAGAAACTCAATAATTCAATAGCAACTAAATTAAGTGTACAAAATTTTGATGTCATTAATCCGAGCAGGTTATACGAAAAATTTTTTGCGGTGTTGAATAGAGAATTTCAAGCTATTTTGCCAATGAAATGTAAAGACATCTATTCTAAGTTTCAGTTTAGCGATTGGGCAACCGTAGGTATTCGTAAGAGTAGAGATAAACTTTTTGAACTTTATGGCATGAAACCATTCAATTGCGACCCCCTTTTTCATCAACATGTAAAATTGTACTCAAAAACATTTAGAATAGTATGCAAAGCCGCAAAGCGACTGTGCATCAGTAATAAAATAAAATCAGCTGATGACAAGATAAAGGCTACGTGGAAAATAATACAGAATGAGACAGGTAGGAAACGATTAAAAAATTCGGAATTTTGTTTAAACACTGAAAGGGGACAGATTTCGTCAAGCAAAGATGTAGCTCAGGAGTTTGAGGCATTTTTTGCTAATATACCTGTCTCAACAACTGCTCATTTAGAATCATCAGCTAGACTATCGGTAACTTTGCTTAGAGAAAATGTCAAATCATGCAAAGACGATTTTAGTTTTCATTATACTAATCCTTTAGAGATAATAAAGGTTTTTAAAGAAATCAAGATTAAATCAACTGAGGACCTTTGGGGACTATCGGTGAAAGTCTGCGGATCACTTATCCGAACTTTAGCGCCGTATCTGGCTTTGATTTTCAATAAAAGTATAGATGACGGTGTCTTCCCCAACCTAATGAAATACAGTAAAGTTATTCCATTATTCAAAAATGGTGACACTAAGGAACCAAACAACTATAGGCCTGTGTCTGTTCTACCGGTTCTTAGCAAAGTGTTTGAAAAGTTAATGCTATCTCGGATGCTTCATCACTTTGATAAACATGCCATCTTTCATCACCAACAATACGGTTTCACTAAAGGTCGTTGTACAACTGACGCCGGTGTCACTTTGATAAAGGAGGTATTCGGTGCTTGGGAGGATGCACAGGATGTTGGTGTCTTTTGCGACCTCTCAAAGGCGTTCGATTGCGTTGATCATGAAACACTCTTGCTGAAATTAGATCATTACGGGATTAGACATACTGCACTCCGTCTACTAAAGTCATATTTAGAGGATAGGCAGCTGAGAGTTCATGTAGGTGGTTCTAACTCACGGGAATCTGAGATAAAAATTGGCGTACCGCAAGGTTCAATTTTGGGTCCGTTTCTCTTCTTAGTGTATGTTAATGACTTGCCATTTCTATTTAAAACCGAGCCAAGAATGGTGCTGTTTGCAGATGATACATCATTAATTTTTAGAATAGGTCGACGTGTTAATAATTTGGACGAAGTAAACAGCTCCATTCATCGAGTTCATAATTGGTTGACAGTCAATAATTTAGCACTTAACGCGAAAAAAACAAAATGTATTAAATTTAGCTTGCCCAACGTACACAATAATGATTGTGACATAATTTTAAATGGGCAAAAGTTAGAATTTGTTAACGAGACTATGTTCCTAGGTATTACGCTAGACAATAAACTTCAATGGGGTTCCCACATAAAGACGCTTTCGGGAAGACTGAGCTCAGCTGTTTTTGCAGTTAGACAGATTAGACAGCTCACAGACGTGAACACAGCAAGGCTTGTTTATTTTAGCTATTTTCACAGCATTATGTCGTACGGAATTTTGCTATGGGGTCGAGCTGCGGAAGTAGATTCAATATTTATTTTGCAAAAGCGGGCTATCCGAGCGATATATAACTTGTCCCCTCGTGAATCTCTGAGAGAACTATTTAAAACGATAAATATCCTAACGGTACCTTGTCAGTTTATATATGAAAATATTATGTACGCAAGGAAAAATTTGCAATTATTTGAAAAAAGAAGCGATAGACACAATTTTAATACTAGAGGCAAAGATAGGCTGGCTGTGCCACGATTCCGTCTGTCCAAAGTACAGAAATCCTTTATGGGGTTCTGTGTAAATTGTTACAATAAAATTCCAAGAAGTGTATTAAATCTTAATGAACGAAAATTTAAAACTTATATTAAACGCGAATTATGTAGACAGGCATACTACAAACTTTCAGATTATATTGAGGATAAGAATGCCCGGCAGCATGTTGGTTCGGCTCCACTGGACAATTCTCAAATATGTAGTCAGTAGTTATTAAAATTCTCAAAATTAATGAAACCTTGAATGAGTTTATATAGAAGCATTCTTTTGGATTGTGAGTACGCATATGTGAGCGCCATGTACGAGACAACAAAGGATTAAAATTTTAATGATAGATTAAATAGACCATCATTTGTTCCTTTTTATTAACAACTTGTCTCTGCATTGTTCTCACATAGGGGTACAGTAATGTATAAAAAATGTATTATTGATGAATTGTAAAACAAATATTTTTTTTAAAAGAGTAACGATGGAGTTTCTTGCTCGTTCTTCTCCATTCGAAACTACAATTTGGAACGAGCACCTAGCTTCACTGACGAACGGACTGACAGACTACTATTCTATTTTGACGTTTCAAAAGTACCTATTTATGGTTTATTTGGAATAAATGATTTTGATTTGATTTGATTTGCTTTTGCTATTGTCACGGCTTCCTTTGCTTTTTTCTTTAAAGCATCATACTCACTCACTCTTTCTTTCAGCTTTCAAACTAAAATTATCTGTTTGTACACACTGCCATTCCTTGAATTTTTTCTTCTTTTCTTTCAATACATTCTGAAGTCCTCCTCCGTCCACTACCACGTATCTCTATGTATTCTACCCTTTATTTCGTCTCTCCCAAAATATCTTTCGCTGCATGCCTAATTCACTCAGCTATCTCATTCCAGCTTTCATTTCTTTTTTCTTTTCTTTTTTATGTAAAACGTTGCCCCACATTAGGATTTTCTCCTGTGACAATTTCACATACACATGACACCCAGACCCGGAACAACAATTTGTGGATCACACAAAGAGTTGTTCCGTGCGGGAATCGAACCCGCGAGACGTTGGACGTCAGCCAGTTGCTCAGCCACCGCACCAACCGTGTAGTCTATTCATTTATACTTCGATCATTCATGTCTCCTATCTCTAACATTCTGTCCACCACTCGCTCTCTGAATTTCTTCAATTCGAAATTAAAATTCCATTCAAAAGAAGCACTTTTCGAATATCCTATGGGTTCGGGAATTATAAAGATAAAACCAGGTAAAACAAAAATTTGCTAGAAGTCACTATTCCACGCGGACGAAGTCGCGGGCAGCAACTAGTTTGTAAATAAACATATAGGATACATAATAATATAGGAAATTTATATAAATGAAAGCCTTGAATCGATGTTTGTTAGTTACCTATTTATTTTATCTAATATCACACATTGGTTCGATTTTTGTTTGTGTAAACTAGATTATTCACACAATTTTTCACAAAGTTAAACAAATAGACTGGCTAATAAACAAATCGGCATCAATCTTGTTAATAAACCAAAACTTTCTTAAAAGATATCAACACTTTTGCACTTCACAGATATATAATTAAAGTATATACAGACGTACAAAAAAATCTGGCAATATTTGGCACAAAACAATCACGCATGCCCTGCTCGACACGATTAATATGTACAACGAGACCGGTGTATACTAGCAACGTATGTAAATAAAATATTTTCAGTTGCTTATTTACTAGTTCCAAATATTTACACTAAGACTGGCACGCGTTGGCTCCTCACGCGCCGCATGTTCTTGCGCTATAACGGAATCTGTCCGCCCACGATGGCGACAGCGACCGCGAGCGGCGGCGGGGCGTGCAGCGCGCGCATCTCGGCCGGCGCGAACGCAGGCAGCCCGCCGCGTAGCTCGGCCAGTCGCCGCGCGTCCACTACAATACCGTTTTCTTCTATTTCTTTTTGGGCGCCGTCGACTCCGCTCGCTAATTTTGGGAATAAGATGCTCTCTTCCGTTTGCACATGCCTATCAGTCGATGTCTTTTCTGTTGAAAATAAAATAAGTTTTAAATAACATACTATAAGTAAACCCTAAAAAAATAGAGGATCTGGCAGTTTCAAAAGATAGAAACAAACTTCCCATGCACTCTAAGTTTTATATTTTTCTTGACGCCCGCTAACAAACATACGCATCGCCTGATTATAAGTACACGGCGCATCTCATAGTACTTACAGAAACAAAAGTGTTACAAGTGCGTTGCTGGGTTTTCAGGAACTATGGAAATGAGGATTGGGGAATAATTGCGTTAAGATGGTTTGATGGGGGTAAGGTTTGGGCCTACGACTAACCTCATTGACTCGTATAGAGCCAATATGGTTTAGGTGGAAAGAAACAGCGTGGTTTTTAGTCAGCAAGCATCTGACACTCTCTTTCGCCCTACCGATATCAGTTGTAATTTGATGATTTACCTTTAATAAAACAAGTTTGCGGTTGGCCGTGTAAGTGTGGTAACCGGAAACTCAATCCTTTCTCTTCCTAATACCAAAATCTCCGAAATTCTTATTCCTAAAGGCCGAAAATGCAACTCTTCTGCTGTTGCGAGTGTCTATGGGTAGCGATTGCTTACTATCGGGTAATCCATTCGCATGTTTGCCGCCCTATCACATAGAAAAAATGTCGATAGAATATTATATACGTAGCACATTAATACGTTTTGGAAATGTTGTTTCGTACCAGTATCGTTTAGCGTAGAGAGGTCGGTGGAAGGCGTGAGGTCGTGTGGTCGCGGTAGCGGGGCGGTGCCGACGAGGGCCGCGCAGACGGCGCCGCGCTTGGCGCCGCCGGCCGCGGCCGCGCCCCCGCCCATCGAGCGCCAGCGTGGTGGCATCAGGCTCGCGCGTACATTACGCTCAGGGTGCACGATTATTATATATAGCTGGAAGTTTTTTCAATATTGGTAATTTCGTTTTCCAAAAGTTAAAAAATGTGTTTAGCGTTTCATACCTTCGGACTAAACAGGCAGACGAGCGTGACGCTGGCGCTGAGCGAGATGGTGACGGCCATGCTGGTGACCCGCAGCGGCACATGGCTCGCCGTGCCGAAGTACAGAGGCACAAACGCTAACCAGATCACGCACGTCGTGTACATTGTGAACCCTGGAACGAATGATGGTACAATGTCATAGGCGGAATGCCGGTTACATAGTAGGAGCCTCAACCTGACAAGCAAATGATAAAAGATCGCACCGATGTGTTTGCTCTCGTTGAATGCCTCTGGGATCTTGCGGGTCAGCACAGCGTACACGGTACAGACGACGATGAGCACGATGGGGTAGAAGAACGCGATGGTGTAGGATGCGTCCACGTACGAGTCACACACGAGCATGTTGTCCTCGCGCGACGGGTAGTGGTGGATGGCACGCGCCGGAGAGATTATTTGCCATACAACCACGATTACCACCTGCAATACACGCGCGTACCACTAAAACCTCAATATCATTTATATCATATTTAATAACTGTAACAATAACAACATTCAATGTCGTGCTACTTTCTATGGCAGTATCAACTGGCCGAAGAAATTCGTCATGAGTCGTAGGAGTCGACTATACTGTAGGTGATTTTATAAATGGAACTATACACATAGTATGTTTGCACGAAGTCAGACATCTGTCGTTTCTCTCTACGTGGGAACATGGAATAAGAGATCACACATTAGTAGTTATTTTGCAATGCGGCACGCCCCAACACATCTGAGAAGACGGATATGCTTAGATATTGTTTATATATATATATATTTTTACTGCCTTATAAATATGTATTATAATGTATATATATAGTATGTATGTATGTAAAGTGTGTATGTATATTTTTATATATATGTTTGGTATATTTAATTGAATTTCCTTGCTTCTGCACCTGCCACTAGATTATCTCTGCATCACCCAAAGGTAGACTGGTAGAGAATGCTCATTGCATTAAGTCCGCCCATGTACAATGTTTTGTGCATGAAGTCTCAAAAAAATAAATAAATAAATAAATATGCAGCTAGATCCGGTAATGAACATTTCGCTGATTTAATTTTTTAATTATCTACAATTATTGATCTACTTTACCAAAATTACTCTACACTAAGACTTAACTGAATAATTTTTAATATTAAATTACCTGAATAGATACAAGTACGGCGCATATGAAGAGTTGTGATTTTGGCGATATCAGAGAGGGTCTGCGCGCCGAGTGCTTGCTAGCATCAAAGATTCGCGCGATCCGGTTCGTCTTAGTGAGTAGCGCGGCGTACACGACGGTGAAGCAGAACCCGGTCCCGAACCTGTCCGAGACGAGTTCATGAGTTGCCTGCCGTTGAGTGGATACAAGCGACAGAGATGTGTGAACGGCTGTACCGTTGCAAGGAGCACAGCACATCCGTGGGGCGGAAGACGAGCGCGAAGGTGACGAGGTAGCACATCATGATGCCGGCCAGCAACACGAAGGACAGCTCGCGGCCGCTGGCGCGGACCACGGGCGTGTCGCCGCGCAGCGCCCACACCGCCACCACCAACCTGCAACACGCGCCCCCTCAGTGCTCGGCCGCTCCCCGCGGGCCCGGCGGCCGGCGCACTCACGCGGTCAGCAGGATGCCCAGCGACGAGAAGGCCATGGCTCCGATGGCTGCAGGCGAGTCGGGCCGAAGGTACAGCTCCGGCACAGCCGCGCAGTGCGTGCGCGTGGCGTCTGGTAACGTGCCCAGCGGACACTCCTCGCACGCCGTCTCTTTGTCCGGGGACCGGATCTGTTAAGACCGGAGGTGAGACCCAGGCAGTACAGTACACCCGCCACACGAGCTGAGGGCGCACCTCGTACTGCGTGCAGTTGAAGCAGTGCCAGCAACAGCTCTCGCCCTCCACGTACTGCTTGGCCTGGCCCAGCTCGCACTCCGCGCTGCACACCGACTCCGGCGGGCGCCGCTCGCTCCATTTGAATTGAATGTCTGCACATAGTAGTTGCATTATAAATGAATGCCGAGTGGTTTATTTATATTGATTCGACACAACTGCACCGTACCGTCCATATTCAAGTGCAGTTCGCCGTCGAGGTAACGGCCCACCGTCAGCCAGCGATACACCCCGGGCGACACTTGCTTGAAGTGTAATATGTTATACCGCGCTGGGCCGTCTCCGTTGCTATCGAAATGAAATTGATCTCCGCTGAGGCCTGTGCACAACATACAATAACTGCCTTGATGGTTTAGTAGTAAGCAATCTTAATAAATATTTACTCGTACAAGGTTACCACAAGGTCAATCCCGTTTTCAGGATTTACGTTCTGTAAACTAGTCTAAGAAGCAGAACATGGTAATGAAATTGTGGCCAGAAATAGATGGCTAGGCAATACTATACTAATACAACACAAAAGTATGTAGTTTTATTTCCGCTACGACGTAGATAATGTTGCTTGTAGTATGGAGATGTTGACCTGTCGACAGCTGCGCCGCGATGTCGATGAAGCACGTCCACGAGACGTGGTTTGTGTGAGTATTTATTTGCAAAAATAAAAAACTAACCTGTGAAGTGCACCTGTCGCAGGTATCGCAGCAAGGTGGCGCCACTAGCGGGCCGCATGGCGTCGCACAGGCCCGGCTTGCCGTGGCACAGGTCCGCGTGCATGTCCCTGCAACACGCGCCAGTGAACAGTCGGCCCGGCCCGGACACGCCAGGCGGGCCCGGCTCGCGGAACACGCGTTACCTGATGGCGTGAGCGAAGGCCAGCACTGCGTCAGTCACGAACTGCAGCTGTGCTTCGAATTCGATGTTGTCTGCAGACAGCCGCTCGGCGCCTGTGCAGGTCCGCTCGTACTGCACGTTGTATGGCGTGCGTGCACTACCCGGGTACCGACACTTGAACTGGTCCTCCCAAAACTCTGTTGAAACCATAATATTACAAAGAAGATACAAATATAAATAAAAGAATGAAGTCTACAATTCCAATAAATAAGATAATTACCAACAAACCAGGGATTCCTAGAATTGTTTTCGACAGTGAGGTTGAGAAAGTACTCTCGAAAGCCAAGCACGGGGTTGGCCTGCGGTTGGACGCTGATGGTTCCTTCGACGGCTGCCTCGTTGCCATCAGAGACGAGAGCGCGCGCGCTCCAGCCGTCCGAGCCGACCCAGCCGAAAGCATCGGTCGCGCGCATGCGACTCACTGCCGACATTACTCCTGCCACCTCCTGGTCCGAGCCGAACACTATTACACCTAGAAACCGCACATCGTGTTAGCCAACACCAATTGATCGTATCGCACTCCTCAACTGGTGCAGTACGCACCCCTGGCGCGCGGCCTGGACAGCAGTCTGGCGACGATGGCATCGTAGGCGCGCTCGTCTGCCTCGCCGGAGTCTTTGACCAAGCGTTCTTTGACAGCAATACAAATATCGTTTCGAGCCAGAAGTGTTTCCAGTTCTTCAAAAGCCTGCAATATGTTTCTCAGTTATTACGTTATAGTTCACGTGTAGCGGACAGTGAGCCTTGCTTGCCTACTTGTCACTATTAGCATAAAACACATCCATGCACTTGTGTGAAAAATGGTTGTAAACTCGTTTCATGAGTACAGAACACACCAGAGCCAATGTTGTCATTTTACAATTTATTAACAAGGCTTTTATAATATGGTTAATGATATTAATATTTTAGTATATGTAGCATACATTAAAATAATCAAATACTAACCTTGATCCCGTAGTTAGATTCCTCATATATAATGGACACATAGCGCCAACCTAGCTTCTTGACGATCTCTACCATGGCGCGGACCTGGTGCAGGTCGGAGGGGATCGTGCGCGTGAAGTACTCGAAGCGAGCCTTGTTCGACAGCTCCGGAGATGTGGAGAAGAATGACACCTGCAGCAGACCAGAACACTCGCTACACTACAATTATATTGAGACATACGAAACCTACAACAAGAACACGTTAAATGTGTTACTTGGGTGATTCTCCAAAAACCTTAACTTTTATTTAACAAGTCATTATCCTCCCAGGTTTTTAAGCATCTTAGTAATTTATTTTATACAATATTTTTAATCGGTTGCTTGTAAGCAGTGGTGAGATTTAATTTAATAAAATAATTATCTGTGTTTTAATCAGCAGACTCGTTAATTTTCGGTTGAGGATAATGACATTATTAATTTTTTTTTAATTGATGTGAAGAATCACCCACTTAATAAAAAGCTAATTACGTTATTCTAATATTTCAGCAACATGATGGTCTTGTTGCTAATGGGAATAAATTATTTTAAGAGTATCATTTGTCCTACACAAAACTTTGCCATAGTTCGGCAGAGCAGGGACGCTTACATACATTTCTAACTTTGTTGTGTCAATGGCTTTCAAATTAAATGTAGGTGACACAGTGACACAGTGAAACAAGATGAAACCGTATTAAAATCGGCAATGTCCAATTAGATCAACGTTTTGAGTTTTGTTAGCATGTACTCGTTGATGCGTTTTAGTAATGTCTGTCTAGACATGTAGGTATATACAGGGCACTTGATAGAGCTCCGTTGCTCATAAGCTTGTATTCTAACTACACATTATTTCTTCTTTTTTGATCTTTGTTGATGACTCAACATACAAAAATCTAAATGATTAGAATTAATGACCATTTGTAATGTGATTGGAAGTCCACGAATCCTGAACTTTTCCTAAAACATTTTTTTGTTCTATTTGTTATAACTGGGGTTATAACAGGGTTTGTATGTAAGAAAAAATCGACATAATTATACACATTACTAACCAGACGAAGCTGAGATAGTAAATCTATTGGTAGAGAATGGTCAAAGTAAGTCCGCCTAATGTACATAAATATCAAATTGTGCATGAAGTATAAATAAATCAAAAGTAAATGAGTACACACTTCCTACTGTCTGTGCCCAGAGATATTATATTTTATGATTGAATCATTCAGACAGTTGCTGCTTGTTATTGTATAAACAGGAGTACCTGAGGTATCTTGAAGAGTCGCAGCAGGTTGGCGACCTGCACCGAGGTGACGCTGCTGGCGGCGCCCACCACTCCGCTGATAACTTTGCGCACGGCGGTCGCGTTGCACTCGTACTCCTCGTCGTCTATGTTGCTTATCGACCCTTAAATTCGCCAAATAATAATTTAAATATTATGATCTGTGACGGTAGATGAATTAAACATAGACTTATTATACAGGTCAGTTTTTACCACCTTTGATAAAATCGAGGGCCATTTCGAGTCCATAGGTGTCGTTATCGCAGTCGTCGAGCACGTGCGCGCCGAGACGCACGGCGGGCGGCGCGAGGCCGGCGCGCGCGGCCGCGTCCATCGCGAACAGCATCGCCTCGAGCGCCTGCACGCCGCCCTGCGCCATCACCGGCCCGCACGTCGCGCCCTCCGACCTGCTGTGTACCTGCGCACTCCGATGCTTCTACATCTCATTGCTCACACGTGCTCGAGCCCCTGACTCATGCAAAATATTGTGATTTACGAAATTTAGAATTCTTCGTGCTGACACAAAGTTCTTAATTTAACAAAATTATCTAATATCCCAAGGAGTTAATATATAAAGTTATTAGGTGAGCCGGTAAGAAAATAAAGCTAACTCAGTAGCTAATGTTACACTTAGTTAAATAGTTGGCAATGAAGCAGTGGCTCAATAGGTAAACATGCTCCAAGCCAATTACAATCTTAGAACTGAGTGAATATTTGTTGTCGTAGGTGCCTGCATACCAAACACTGCACATACTATAGATTGACGTGCATGGTTTGTACACACATTCAAAAAGTTTGAGATCACTTAGCAAAACATGGTCCCTATACATATATGGCACTTATCAAAGGATTGTTACTTACGTTACATCTTTTTACAAAAAATACACTCGTGAAAATAAAATAGTATTTTTAACTGAATTGGTTTAAGACGTTTAAGAGAAAGAGATGGAGTTAGTTAATATTGTCAATATTTATTATTACTTAGTACAACAATATAACTCCTCCCCTGGCTGCCAGCAATGTGGACATTGGCATGTTGAGAATTAGGTTCTGCAGCATTTGTTGCGGGAACTTGTTCCTAATCCTTTAATAAATGCTTTTCTGATCTCTAGTACTGATTGGGCGGATGGCTGACGGCACCAAACAGTCGCTTGGCAGCATCCCACGCGTGCTCCTTCTGTGAGAAGGAGCACTTCTTCTTCTTAAGTGAGCGAGCCGGCAAGCCAGTCTAACCTGGCCACTCAGAGAAGCGTTGCGGTGCGGGTGCATTATTCAAGCATTACGAGAGCCATGGTTTATTCCTAATTAGGTGCCTGATAATTGATTTTGTTGTCATAGCAATTGTTTGGTACAAGCTGCAGTCAGCCACGATACGGGATCAACGATGTGCTACAACTAATTAATATATCTAGCTAGAACTAAACAACGCTTGAATATATTTGTCTAGATTTCTGATTTAGTAAAAACAAGTATTTAATTATTATATTGTAAACTGACGGAAATTCGATTGCCAATAAGGAAACTTACAAAAAGGCCTTTTATTCTATTTTATGATAAATTATATCGTATTCAATTCCCTAAGAGATGGCGCTGTACTTTTGCTACTTATTGTTGAATTGCGATGTTAAGCCAGACGGGAAACTTCGGAACCCTACACTGAGCGTAGCCTGATCTGCTCTTGGCCGGTATGCCAGCATTGCATACATTAGATAACACTTTGTTCAAAAGAAATGATGAAAGATAGTGAGTAGTGTGAAGTAAGAGTATGGCATTGTGTACCATCATGAGGCCGCCGAGGATGATGTCGCCCTCGACGACGGCTGCGTGCTTCACGGGCCACACTGTTTCCTCGTCGGGGACTTTCTTCTTCAGCACCGGACGTGTTTCACGTCGACCGTTGTTTGGGGCGCTAGTTGTAGCTTTTGAAACGCCTTTTGATTTACGAGCTGGCTTTATCTTAGTGTAATAGGTATAAGTAATAGGTATAAGATAACAATAGTTCTAAGAATAATATATATTAATATTGTAACATGATCCTAATATGATATAGTTCTATATTTGGTAATTGAGGTTGTAATAGTATCTAAGTATAAACAATTGAACCTGAAGCCTAACCTACATACCGTAGGGGGCAACAACCTATGACATCATCTATGTACCCGTACTATGACATCATCCCTGTAAACCCTAATCACTATAAAAGGGGTCCATTAATAAAAATAAAGTTAGTCTTATAACCAACTTCTTGTGTTTAATTACTTCCTCGCGTACCGCTATCACATGGCGACCCTGCCAGTGCGGCTCACTTTAGGTTCGGGTTACAATTACTAATATGGATAGGCGCCGGTAACGATCCATATTTAGACGAGTGTCTTTTAACATTAAAACAATAACAGTGTTCATCTCTAAGATGGGAAAACAATACAGTACTCCTAGACCTCCGGCTGCCCTTGCAAGTCATAGTGATATTTATAATCAATTCGGGAAGACGAACTCTATCGAGCAAAATACGTCGATCACCCAGGGAATCGCAAATATAAATTTCTATTTGAGTATATTCGTATTGACAATAGTTCTGATAGTTGCTTTCGTACTTATACGATACTGCATTTTATCTGTCAATAAGAAGATTGAAAGAAGAGCGCGCAGCCAAGTTATAGACTTGAGCAAAGCTGGTGTTTAAACAAAAACAGAAGTATGGAACAGCATATGAAGGAGATAGCTCAGTACATGGAAATATTCAGTCAAATTAATGATTTAAGGTGCCAAGATATACGAATAGGGAAAAAACAGGGAAGAACTATTGTCGAAGCATTTATAGAAGGCAGGAAAGGACATTATCTATTATGCCCAGAACGGATAAATAGCCGGTCATTCTGCTTGATTTCTAACTCACTGGATGTCGAGTTGCATGATGGGACAACTGCAGTAGCCCAGCTGACATTGCAATACGAAGGAAGACTATCCTGGATTTGGAAGATTGAGTGGGAACGTGATTCTACGTACAATGAGTGGTAGTGAGTGGTAGTGTGTAGTGTTGTGAACCTGTGAGCAACGCGACGATATCAGGACAATAAGAGAACGTTATTATGTAAGTACGTAGTCTAATGATTAGTTTCTTATCCTTTTTGTGTATTCATAATATTAAGTGAAATAAAATGTGTTAGTTAAATGGCAGATGAAATCAAATTACTTATTGCTAAGTTAAAAGAAGTTAGAACTTATTTAGTAAAGTTAGGTCCGAAAAGACGGAAAGGCGAAATTTTACTTAAAAAAGCAGATGAAAGTTATGTGCTATTTTCAACTTTTTCTTCTGTCCTAGCGATCATTAGTGACCAAGTAAAACTAGGTAAATCGGACAAGGACACAGAGAAAAATATCAACGAATTAAGTAAAGAATTTTTAAAGTTGTATGAAGAAGTCAAAAAATTGTGTGAGGTTGTAGAAATGGAAACTTTTAGCTTAAAGACAGCATTAGGCTTATTGCCGTTAATGACAGATGATGAAACAGTAACCCAACAATTAATTGATAACATAGAATATTATGGTTCTACTTTATCTGAAGCTGCTTGTAAAGTAAAACTAATAAATTTTGTATTAAAGAGTAGGCTGTCTCAAGCAGGTAAATTAAAATTAAATGAATCGTATTCAACTATAGGCGAACTGATTCAGGATATGAAATGTAAATTACTTGCGCAAAAATCTGCAAATTCAATTCAAACAAAATTACAACAATTAAGGCAAAATGATAAAACGATAAATGACTATGGCCAGGAATTATCGCAATTATTTGTTGATCTTACGATATCTCAATCAAAGGGCGATGCCAACAGTTATAAAGTGTTAAAACCTTTAAATGAAAAAATGGCTATAAAAAGATTCGCGGATGGACTACGGAATCGTAGACTAAGCACCATTATTGCATCTAGGAACTTCGATTCGCTAAAGGATGCCGTGCAAGCCGCGTTGGATGAAGAAATAACAACAGCAACTACCGATATAATTGGTACGTATAATTCCTATAAACCTCGATTTAGATACCAAGGTGGCTACCAACCCAGAGGACACCTTAGAGGACGTTACGGAAGAGGATATAAACCAAATTATCAGGATAATCGTTATAGGTCACAGGGATATTCCCAACAATACCATAACGGCGACAGGAAAACATTCTATAGAGGAGGTATGGTTACAAGAGGAGTTAGTCAGCAGAAAAGAAACCATTCAGGTGGGTACCACAATCACCAAAGGGGATTCTACAGAAGACCACAAAAACATGGTGTTCACATGCTAGCAGAGGAACAAGAAACTGAACAAAATAATCCCTGCGAAGATAGAGGACTAAGCGAAAATCAGTTTTTTCGGGACTAATCATATATTAATTGGGGGTAATTCAATCATAATTAAACTAAAAACAAATAACCAAGATTGGTCATGGTTAATTGACACAGGTGCAACTATTTCAGCTGTAAAATACAGTTATATTAGAGAAAGAAATATTCCAATAACGAAAGCTAGAATGAATATTAAAGGCATTGGAGGTAGTTTAGAGTCTATTGGATTTACTAAGTTGAAAATTCTAATAGGAAATGAATTAATAGAGCAAGTAGTGTATGTGTTCAGTTCATTACCATGCCCTACGGCTGGAATTTTAGGTCATAATTTTTTAAATAAACATAAAGCACAAATAAATTATAGAAACAAATCTATAACCCTGTCAATAAATCAAAATAAGACAATAACCTTACAATATGGTAATACATTGGTACAAACATGTTACAAATTTAAAAAACGATCAGAATCAATTAATTACATTCAAACTGATCGAGTAAATGACTGTGTCATATGTGCAGAAGAAATAACCAAAGGAGTATTCATAGCAAGCACTATTGTAAAACCTATAAATGGTAGGATACCAGTTCAAGTTTTAAACACAAACGAAGAAGACATAACAATAAGTGGACTAAAGCCGAAATTGCGTGATCTTGATGAATATGACTATTGTTACTTTGGTGAAAGTATTAAAAATGCAGAAAGAGTAAAGAATTTATTAGGACAGCTTAATTTAAAACATTTGACGTTAGAAGAACAAGTAGAGATTGAAAAGATTTGTGCGAGATATGCTGATATATTCCAACTGCCAGGGGATAAATTATCAGTAACTAAATTATATAAACATAATATTCAGCTAAAACCAAATGTAGATCCAGTTTTTGTTAAAAACTACAGGATACCACATTCGCAGAAAAAAGAAATTGATAAACAAATAGACCAAATGTTGAAGGATGGAATAATAGAACCAACACAAAGTGAATGGTCTAGTCCAATTTTATTAGTGCCCAAAAAATCAATCGTATCAGGGGAGAAAAAATGGAGACT